GAAGATTTAAGTTTTATTTAGACGGGGAATATTCTCCTAAAATCTGAGCCTCCCAACTTTTCTGGTATCCGAATTAGTAATTTTCCCTCTAAAATTTTCCTACGCCCCTACGTGAGTACTACGCATACCTAAGGGCTGGATCTGAAACATTTAAGTTGTTCCCGTAAATATTCCCGTAAAATTTCAGCCTTTCAGCTCTCCTGGTTTTCGAGTTAACAATTTTCCTCCTAAAACTTTCATACGCTCTTACGTGGATACCACGCGTACCTGGGAGCAAAATTTGAAACCTTTAGCCAGTACATGTGCAGGGAATATCTCTACAAATTTTCAGCCTCTTAGCTCGTGTAGCTTCCGAGATCGCTCTCCCGCCAAAAAATTTGCATATTTTTTTATGGGGCCTGTACCCGTCGCCCAGGCGTCCGTGAGGGATGATATTAAAATGGGAGGGTTGCGTATGGTTATAGGCACATATTCCCAAAGTTTCAGCCTTCTATCTTTTTCCCTTCCCGAATAATCAAAACTTTGCCCCTCTTGTATGCGGGGCCCAGACGTGCGTGAGGGTTGGTACCGCGGTTCTGGGGTGGTACATGGCCGGGGTACCCAATAGCAAAAACTCGGCCCTGAAACTTGCTTGGTTGCCGAGTTGAAATATCCGGACAGATGAACACACACACGCGCGCGCAGGTCGTCCCAATATGCGTTTTTGCAATTTGCATATAGGCAAAAACGCATAAAAACGACCGGGCTTCATGCAAAAAAACGGTAGTCATGCGCCTGGGATGTCCGTGTGACTCTATAATGCACCAATCCCAACTGGCGCTCTTCTGCTTGCCTAAAAGGATCAAAGCACGGCCGATGTGAGCCCAAGTGTTAGGTTACAACGTAGGGATCATTCCTGCAAATAGCGATTTGCGAGTTTAGTGCAAAAACGCATGATCGCACCGGAGGGTCTAGAGCGTTCCAGCCTGGGTTTTAGTTCTGTAAATTGTAGTTAGTGATTTAAAGCTTGAGCTTTGTATATTAGCTAGAAAGATTAGGGACGATCTTTGTAGCCGGGGGGCATGTTGTATCACGACCCCCTCCAAGGTAAGTCGTGCATTGGCGCGAAAGCGGACCATATAAGGCCGCCGCGTTTGTATTGTGGGCACTATTATATCCAGCACAGTGTCTTCCTGAAGAAATAATGTTGCTCCCGCCCAGTGTTGTCGACTGACTCGCGTAAATCCGTAAAGTGTGCCAATCAGTACGCACGAAGACGAAGACCCGTACCTACCTCCAATAGTTGTCGATGAGCCGACTTGCCGGGCCAGAGTACTTGGTCAGGTGACTGAGGAGTCTGAGCCCAGGGAACGCAACAGTAATCTGGAAGCATATTCCTTTTCATACAAAGATATTCCTTTTTATGCATTTCTCTTGC